CTACTTCTAGGGAAGCTGCTAGAACAGAACAGAGCTGGTGCTCCGCAGGAAACCTCTGCCATCCTGCCGTCCCTGAGGTCTACCCCTCAACGACCAGGTCAGACGATGGAGCCTTGGGATGCCACGTAGCTCACCCAAGGTCACAAAGTTGGCCAAATGGCAGTGTTGGAACCAGAATCCAGGTCCCTCCCCGGACTCCTAACCCAGTGCATTCCTTCCACTCTGATGTGTTTCTGATTTGCTGAACACTTGCTCTGGAGACCTTCACGGTGTGGGATACAGCCAAAGTGAGGCACCGCATCCCTGTCAGCAGGAAAGATGCCTGGCAGAGCTATGGCAGAGGGTAAGGGTTGTGCAGAGTGGACACAACAGACCTCCCAGGACAGTACGTACACAAAGCCAACCTGGCACTCGGAAACGGGCATTCCCCTGAGCAAGTCCTCACAGCCATCGTCGCCCAGCACGGCCCCCCGCGGCAGGCGCCCTGTGCACACTTTGGAACAATGGTCATCTGACAGCGGAGGGGCGGGTCTCCCTCCCCATTCTGAGGCCTGCAGCAGCGCGGTCCTGCTCGGGGCGCCGGACACGCCTCGGACGTCTTCTTTCCATTTCATTAGCTCATCCGGTGGGTTCGAAGTGAATGGAAATAAAAATCTGTTATGCATGTGATGGAATTTATTTTAATTCCACTACTGAATCTTACAGAAACAGATTTAATAATAATTAGGGGGCTGATCCTGGAGCGATAGAGAAAAGGAAGTGGGAGGGAGGACCAGGAAGGCCTGCAGAAGAGTCAGTGGCTGTAAAGGGGTGGGTGCGTGGTCTGACCCCAGAATGGGCTGTGAGTGGGGCAGGGGGCAGGCCCGAGGCGTCCCTGGGAACTGCGGCCTCACCCAGCGCCTGACACACAGGCTGGGTGTAGAGACGTGCTGGGGGCGGGGGGAGCACCTGCTCAGAGGAGGACCTGGAAACAGGAGCCAGGTGGGTGCGTGTGGTCGGCTGGCACAGCACTGTCAAGGCAGCAGCTTGTCTGGGGACGAGCGCCGTGGGGTCCGAGGCCTACAGGGCCTGGAGGACCAGCAGGGTAGCCGTGGATGGTCAGACTGGGGAGCTCGTGGCCACTTCCAGCAGAAGGCACGACTCGAACAAGAACAGTGAGGCCACCTGCAGCGCTGGGAGGAAACCTCCAGGGACCAGATGAAGGGTCAGGCCAGGGCTGCGATCACTAAAATAATTCACCTGAGGGAGATGTTTAACGTCACCTAGTTTTAGGTTTGATGGATGAACAAAATGTGTGTGTGTCTATGTTGGGGGAGGGCGGGGGACTGCAGAGTTTGAGAAAGGAAAAAGTAAATAAAACACTTTACTCTTTCAATTAGAAAAATTAGAGACATTATTAATTAATAAAATAAAAAATGTATTTCAAACACACAGAAACTAAAACGGAGACGCATGGAGACAGGCAGAGGGGACAGTTGGAGACACCTGTCAGCAGGCCGCTCCTGTGGGCTCGGAACAAGCCCCGCCCGCTCCTCTCTCGGCCCGTCCTGGGCCCTGAAACAGTGGGCGGCCCGGCCTGGCACTCGCTGGGTCTCGGTCGCACAGGAGCTGAAGTGCTCTCTCGTCGAGGAGAACCGCTCACATTCTAAAATTGTCTCTAGCCGCCTAAATGGCATTTAAAATAAATGCTGTGAATTGATGAAATGACCAATTATGTTAACTACCCACGCCTGGTGTAATCCAAACCAAATCTTACCCCATTATCCTCAAAACTACGAGGTGATGCAGCAAGCAGGCCCTCCTGCCAGCGATTCTGCGACAACCAAAATACACAGGCCGCCTCGAGCAGGACCTCGAGTGCTTCCAGTTAATTCCTGCAATTGGTTTTATGCTGGAAAAAAACATAACTGTACTGCGTTTCTGCTCAACAGCTCACGCGCCAAACAACGGCCAGACCACAGTGTTACCATCGTGTCGTTTTGTGCCACTCACTGCAGGTTCTAACTTCCATGGTTTCCTCTTCTCTTCGCCCCATTATTCTCCTTACCCCTCTCTCGGGTGTGTGATGTCACCCACACCGACCGCAGGCCGCCCGCGCTGGGCTCTGGTGCCCTTCTCCTGCGGTCTCCTTCTTGCAATGCCTTTTTCTATTTCCACAGCCCCTACTTGCCTGTTTTTCAAGGCCTTGCTCAACTGTCAATTCTCCCAAGAAGTGACAGCCCCTCCGCTTCCACCCTCCAGACAAAAACAAGTCTGTGCTCTAAACAATGGGACCGGTCTGCTTACTCTGCAGCTCTGCATTCCTGTCATCACAGCCCAGGGGCCACTCCGCCCAGCAGGGTCTCCCTGTGCGGCCGGTTCGGCCAGCTCTGCTCCTGATGGGCCCCCGGTCAGGCTGGACTTCTGCTGGCTAGTCCCTGGGCCTGTGTCACCCAGCGTGACCAAGCTTCATCTTCCACCCCACCTGCAGGAACTGGGTTCTTTAGGGGGTCCTGCTCACCCTCAATCTCACTCCTGTGGCTGGAACCTAGTAACAGAGTTCTTGCCTATAGTCTGATGTCTAGAAAAATATCCTCCTGCTTGCTACAGGGAAAAAGATATGTGTGTATCTTTTAAAAATGTGAAGTATAAAGGTGAGCCCTGGCCAGTTGAGCTCAGTGGTTAGAGCATCGGCCTGCTGACCAATGAGTCACGGGTTCGATTCCGGTCAAGGGCATGTACCTCGGATGCGGTTCATCCCCGGCCCTGGTCGGGGTCGTGCGGGAGGCAACCAGTCTATGTGTCCCTCTCACATCGATGTTTCTCTCTCTCTCTCCCTCCCACTCTGTCTGTAGATAAATAGAAAAAAATATCCTCAGGTGAGAATTTTAAAAAAAACAACACAAAACCTATAAAGGCGAGAAAACGAGCATAAGTCAGGTAGATTTTCCTCTACGTCACTCTAACCCGATCCTCCCACTGGGATGACGGGGCAGCCCCCTTCCTCAGACACCCCTCATCTTTCTGTAAAACCTTTGTGGGCTTTGGCGGCTTCTTGATGAGCCAGTACCACCCACCAAAGAAACACAAAAATATTAATTAGGAAAGACACGCACACAGTTAGAAAACTCTTGTCACAATGAAAGTGTCTCGAGAACTATGTACGCATTCAGCAAGTGAAGAACTGTCAGAGAAAGAGGCTGACACACCCCTGCCCACACTCCCCAGTCTCTCCAGACTGGTTCTCACATGTACAGAGAAGTCAACGGGCTGCACTGCACCGAGGTGGCTTCAGCCAGCACCTGCCCCTGCAGGGACCTGACTCTCAAAGCCCGGAGTAGTCAGGGGAAGCGCTACCCCATTGGGGGAGGAAACCGATCTCCCGCCCACGGGACAGCCTCTCCCAGCAAACTCCCTCAACTTCAGAAACCGAATCAATGTTCCCCCTCGTGCTTTTACCCGGAACGACCCAAAATGAAGATGCTTAGAGCAAATGACCTAACGTGGAACTTAATAAATGAAAACCCTGTAAGGGAATGCTCTAAGTAAATAAAATCCCTTTTCTGAACGTGATCCAGATGCAAGCGGTATTCACAGCCGAGACCCGGAGGCAGCGCGAGGGGCGCAGAGCTCGGAAGTCCACCTGCGCAGAGGCCAAGGCTCACCGGGACCAGTTTCCACGTGTACTATCTGATGGGGCAACAGCAGGGATTTTTTTTTTTAATTATGTATTAATTCTTGAAAGTGGAGGAAGCTCCTCTTTTCTCTTAAATACTTAGGATGTCTATGGTGGTCATTAAAATCAGGATTAATCGAACTTGCCTGCCTAAATTGTACCCTGTGCCAAGCAAAAATGCAAAGACATTCTTAAGTTCCCAATTTCACAGGCTATTAGAACGACAATATGCAATTGCATGGCCTATAAAACAACAAAAATGTGACATCTATCACAACTGCTTGAGCTACTCCAGAAACCTGAAGATAAATGTCACTTTTCTTAGCCACATTTACATTCTACTCTTTACACACACACACACACACACACACACACACACAGACGCACGCACACGCACGCAGCCAGCCCTCAGCATGTACTTTTAAGGAAAAGAGGCTTAAACCAACCAAAATGCACAGGACTCCTCACTATAAGCTCAGTATATCTCTAAAGCTCTTGGTCCAACCAAATCCACCTGATCTGGGCCAGGTGTGCCACTCTGACACCTGGCCAATCAACCAACGCTGGCAGGGACAGGACACTGGAAGACCCCTAGGAGCCAGCCGATCTCAGCTTATCTACAGAGCAGATATCCAAAACAGTAATAACCCAAAAGTCATTTCTAAAAGTATTTAGCATGCATCTCAGTGCTATTTTTAGCCATTTATTCTTCTGTAACTTTAACTATTCCCAAAGAAACTTAAATGCAAAAGTAAAGATGAAAGACTGTGAATTCCTTGGGCACGCTGCATAGGGACGTGTGCAAAGTAGCTGACCATGGCTGGACAGCAGGGAGGATGTCCCCCTGCACACGATGCTTGTAAGGGAGGGGTGTCTGAACTCTGAGCCTCAGAACAAACCACAGTCACCCCTGTCCACACAGAGATGTTAGGGATCAACCAGGAACAAGTGTCCCTACTTGGTGAACAAAGTGCCAAAACACCAAAAACATCCCTCAGTCACCCAAGCATTGAAAATATGAAACGGGGTTTGTTTTCATCAGCCCAGTGTATGCTCCTGTCACATCCTAGTTGCCACATAATTCCAATTTCACCAAAGCAAGCCAAACACTTCTAGAATATGACCAGTAATGGCAGACCACAGGAGCAGTCCAGGTTCCACACTAACAAGTTCCTAGCAACCAGAAGATGCGAGCAGGACAGAAATAACAGACCCATCCCACACGGCCACGCTCCTCCGGTACCCCCTGCTCAGCAGGAGGGAACTCTTCTGGTGGTCCGTAAGCATGGAGGAGCCTTGGGGGGTGGGGGGTGAGGTAGAGAGGTGCTTTTAGAGACCGACCTACCTTGTAGAAGGGCTCCATTTCTCTTGAAGAAGGTACTGCCCGGCCAGATGGGTGGACCTGATGTGCTGAAACAGAAGAAAAACCAGCATAAGGGCCAGCTCATTGGCACCACTCACACTCAGAACAACACTTTCTCTGAACGCGTCACTCAAATGGCCCCAAAACACCTTCCGAATTATGCATTATTTATACCCTCTGAAAACGCATCTTTAAACATCATTAGTTTTTTTTTTCTTTTTAACGTTAAATAGGTTTCATACTTCCCCGAGCAGGAACAGTCGGGGGAGAGGGGGACGGAGTTCTGGTTACCGTCTGGTCCCTGTTCCCTCCTGGGCACTGACATCATTTGCAGATCAACAAAATGGCAAATTCACACATTCAACATTACAGCTTATACCTTTTACTAACTTATTGATAATTTTATGATTTTATGGGGCAAAGAAGTCCTACCCGTGTCTGAGACCAGGTGGGTTTTCCAACACTTCCTGCTGCCACCTGCCCATTATAAATGCAAACTTGCCTTTCTCGGCTTTTCCACCATCCAATCTTCAATATACAGATATGACCTTGATCGACTCTCTCCCTCCTACCTTCCTGTTTCCTATCCTGTTTTCAATTTCTTGGCTTAAAATGTTGCATTCCATCCCCTATAAAACATTTTGTAAATGTCACCGCCCACAGTCTGGTAACAAGAGAGGCAAGAAAATAAGGAAGATCAATATATCACAAAGACACCTCGCGGCATTTATAGACAAGCATTTTCACTGTTTTAAAACACCCAGTGAAAAACTTGATAACCAAGCCCGTCTCAGTGAAATATCTTTGGAGTGGAAAGTAGGTTATTCTAAATCAAGCATTGGTTTAATGTTAGAAAACACCTGGTTACTCCATTAGCCCAAGAGGCAGTACCTTTACCAAAAGAGTCCATGGCAAATGATACTGGCTAATGCATTATCAATCACTTTCACGTTAGAAAAATAGAAAGTTGGTCCGAATAAAACGTGTGTAAAATTCAGCAGATGGACACGCGCGGAGAATAAGAAATCTGAAGGGCTGTGCGGTGACTGCTTCCCCTGTCAACCGGGGTCGCTAGCCATGCAAACCTGTTAACAAAACAGTGAGCGACACATGCTGACCAAAACGTCGTTACCAGAGGCACAAACGGCACAGCAGGTGCAGGGACACAGTAACACGGCTGGGAAGGAGTAGAGGCAGGAAAGAACCACAGCATCAAAACACAACTCAGCCTCAGACCAATGTCAAGTGCGCTGGAAAACGCACCGTGAACCGTGATGTAAATGAACCTTTCTGTTTTGTTTCGGACCCACTGTACTTAGACTAAGGGGGAATATGCTTTCTCTGCGGCCCCGATTCTCAACTCCGGTGTCTGTGGCCTCGAAGTGGCCAGGGGTTGCCCAGGACAGCGAACAGCAGATCTGGCTGGGGCTGCAGGGCTGATTTCTCTTCCATTTCATTCCCGTCCTATTCCGTGCTGAGGCTTTAAGGCTCCAAGTTGAGTGAAGAATAATATGCATTAAAAGGCTTAAGATTATCGTTTAACAACCCCAGCCAGCTCCTGGGATTTTACCATAAGAAAGCAGGAAACAGCAAGCTGGCTGTTGCCAATACTCAATCACCTGATTTCTAAAGATATTTAAAAACTGAGGACTTCATTATCGAGGAGTTGGCGCTTCAAGGGAATTCAATAATTGAGTATGACTGCAGGAGCCTGAATATCCAGCTTACTTCCATCCAAACCTCCTCTTTATCGTGACCCCGATTTGGCTGAAAACTGAGTAGATGCCAGCGATGGAGTAAATGGGGAATCGAGGATGGGTAAATCCAGTGGTTTAGATAAGGAAAATTCTCTATATGACAGAAATCTACTTAAAGAGTTGCACAACATCCTTCTCATGTACCTAAGTCCTGACCACTGTCCCGTGGCCCTGCAGTGCTCTCTGGGTAACCTATACTCTCCTAATGGAGAGAGCGCTGGACTGGCCACCCACCTGTTCTACCTGGCCCCACCGTGACTGATGCATTCACCTGTGGTCTTTCTAGCACAAGGTAAGCTGGTTCACGTCATGCTAATTACAAAGCTTTTGAGCTCACTGGCCCCATATTCTACACTGTTTTCTTTGCATGGTCCCTCAAAATGACATCTTCTCACTAATAGTAGATCCGAAAATGCATTAAGTGTTTACTGAGAACTGTGCTGGGTATTCAAGAAGGACACAGGAGGTGAGGGAGAGGGGATTAAAAGCCACATTTTATGGCCTCCAGGAGCTTACTGACATACTTACCTAGCTCCAGCCTCCTATGATTCTACCTAAAGAGACAGGAAAGGCCTATAGAAAGGTCAATGGTTCCGGTCCTAGTGGCTGCAGGTTGGAGAGGCTGTGCAAACTGATTTTTTTCCAACGTGGAGATGTTCCTGGCTCAGTGGACTTTAAAAGTGCGTATCAACCCCAGTAACTCAGAGAAGGCCCTGTGGTCAAGGTCTTTGTGGGAGAACCTGAGGTCACCCTGGAAACCACCCACTCATGCAGCAAACCAAGAAGAGAGGAGAGTGGGGGACTCTCCACACTTAGTCACTTAAATGCTGGTCACTGCCAAGAGACCCCTTCAATCTACCAAAGTGGGTTTTCATCACCAGACAATGGTGCTCACATTGCTTGAAGCTGGGATAGCAAATTACCACTTACAGAGCACAGCAATCAACACTTTTCCCTGGAACCCTCCAATCCTGTGGGTGAGCAGGCAGAGCAGGACCCCACCCAGGTCATCTAGTGATCAGCACAAGACCAGACAGGGCTTCCGGGGCCAGCCCACGGTCCTGACACACACACAACAGCCTGACTGCGTTCCTCGTCTTCCAGCCTTCCAGCACCAACTCCTAGCTACGTATCCGTCTCCATGGAAGAAGGCCGGGGCTGGCATTTCACTACGAATCTCTCCAAGGCAAAATCCCAGGCTAGACAAAGCAATCAGGCCAACCACACGTGACACACAGACACACGGGCTCCGATGAGCAGAAACACGACAACGCTGGCGCCACGCATGTCTCATCTCAGTAACGCTCTAACGAAACCCCGTGACCTTCAGCAACTATAAGCCCAACCCGCTCTGACAAAGGAAGCCGACCAACAGGCTCAGAGGGCCCTGCCTGCCAAAAAGGTGGTTGCGAACTGGCATTTGAGAACATTGATCCAGCTGATCGTTAGGACCAGAGCTGAGCCAGCAAATCCCAAGAGGTGAGTGATAGCGGCCTGAACAGCATACCCAGCGCCTGCCAGCGCCTCCCAGCCCTCAGTCACTCCCTGGCCTCACACTGACGGCTGCATTACTAAGATCTCCCAAGGGGACACCGTGACTCAATGGGTCATGGAGCCCTAAGGTGGCTCTTGGCATAATGATGTGATCTGTCATGTGTTTTCTCTACACCCAAGAGCTTTCTCATCATTGTGAGAACCGGCTGGACCATAACCAAAACCCCGGGAGGTTCTGGCACGAACCACACCTGCACTCACCAGCCTGGACTTTCTCTAAGTCTAATGAAAAGCAAATTGAGAAAAGAACTTTATTTCTAAGAACCCAGCTGCCAAATGTGAACTGGTGTATCTAAAACAAAGAACAAGATACTGCAACACAGATGAACCTCAAGGACACTGTGCTAAGTGACATAAGCCAGACACAAAAGGACCAACGCTCCATGATTTCACTTATAGGAGGTCCCTGGAGGAGTCGGATTCGCAGAGACAGAAAGTAGAATGGCGGTTGCCAGGGCTGGAGAGAGGGGGGAGAGGGATTTATTGTTTAATGGGTCAGGGCTTCAGTTTTGCAAGGGAAGAAAGCATTCTGGAGATGGGCTATGTGAGTGTACTTTACTGACCCATACACCGGGTAAGGCAGCTAACTGTAAAATGCTTAAGATGCTGTATTTTACCACAATTAAACACCTTTTAATGTAAAATGAGAGAAATAATTAATAAAGGAGAGACTCTGGAAGAAGTGAGTTCAAGTCTCAAGAGTTCGGGGCATGAAAGCACCAACCTACATGCCGTGGTTCTGACCGGCCCCTGCAGGGGGCGCCACCCCCGAGCACTCCACAGCGCACTAAGCACAGGAAGCTCAAACCCACAGGGAAAAGGGGCGCGGAGGGGCCAGCCTGCCCTGATCTAGCACCTACAGGAGCCAGAATTTGCTCGCTACACTTCAGGCAACTGAGCAGATTCCTGTCACTGACATTGGAAACTGGTGTGACTCAACCCCTCTGGAGGTGACACACCTACCACCAGACTGGTTTCCCAAAACAGTTGTGACAAAGAGGGAACCCCCTCTCCCCGCCACCCAAAAAAAAAAAACAAAACAAACTTGGGATTCTATTGCTTTAATTCTAACTGTGGATTAACCACTAGGAAATAATAAACAAATACGACCTCCGCCGCACACTAACCCAGACCCCTGGGGTGAAGGGTGCCAGTCGAAGAACCTGGAAAGTGGAATCGGCGCGTCTGACATGTATGACATGGTCTCCAGTTGCCACAAAACATGGTTCACAATCTGAGAAATGTTACGGTGGGCTCCGCTGAGAGTTCAGGATTCTCAAGGACGTTTCATAAACCCTGTAAATAATAAACCCGAGCGCGCTGACATTCAAAGGGATCTCAGTGGCCACTCGGTCCCATCCAAGGTGTGGTGGGGACATCGGACGATCTGCATTCAGGGAACCTGTCTGTGCAAAACACAGGCTGAAAATCTTTGCACAGATCAGAGTCCGATTCCATGCTGCAAACTGGGGGGCACGACAGCATCGACGTGTGATCACGAAGCGAGGTGATGCGGGCTGCAGGCTGCAGACACCAGTGGGCGTCTCGACCACAAGACCACTGCAGTTCAGACAACTTCCTCCTACACCCGTGGACTCTCCCGCTGGGCTCTTTTCCTCCTGATGGGTGAGGCGACCACACCTCCACCTTCCTCTTGTCTGTAAGGATGTTCTGAGAGGATCTCACTGCAAATGTTTCTCAGTCCACAGTAGCAACAAACAGTTTAAATATCAACA